TGGTAGTGGTAGTGGTAGTGGTAGTGGTAGTGGTAGTAGTGGTAGTAGTGGTAGTAGAAGGAGGGGGGAGGGGAGGAGGAGTAGTGGTAGTAGCAGTAGTAGTGGTAGTGGTAGTAGTGGTAGTAGTGGTAGTAGAAGAAGTAGTAGTGGTGGTGGTGGTAGTAGTAGACTATGCTAACAATAAAAATACGTGACGATGCACGAGCAGTTCAGCACTTGCTACGAGATCTGGGCGACGAGCCGAGCCGAGATACACAGCATATGCAAAACATCAGTTCGTCAGGTGTTTAAGACCCGGTGAGCGTAAATCGCAGCATCTGACTTGTGCACGCTTTGTACCGCAACAGCATCCTGTTGCTCTCTGATGTGTGACCGCCAGCTTCTGCTGAAGACTGATTACGCTCGTGTTTGCTGTCGCTGGGATGGGACATGCTAAGCAGGACAAGACACAATCAAATCCAGGTTGCAATCACGAACCCTTCTGCTCTTTTGCTGGGTGCCCTGACCTACCCTTGAGACGGTCTGAATACTCGGGCGAGTGCTCGGGTGTTAGGGCGCTTGCTGTTGGATCCTGTGATTTTTTATGTATGTGCTGTTTGCTGCACTGGGCTGGCGACCAGATCAGCACCAGTGCCAGGGCTCGAGATCATTCGTGTTTCTGCCGCAAGACATATACCACCAAATGCGGTGGTCTTGCTTGTGGCTTTCAATGGGGACTTGCCCCTTGGCCTTCAACAGAAGCAGGCGCACCTTTTCCTGTTGCTCATTGCTCCCACACGCAGCTGCTACCCAGTGCATCATTTTGGACATCTAAGCCGGCATTGTGCAAGAGGTCATGTAGTTCTTACGCCCTAGGTCACAGCTGCAGGACATGCACGCGTCTCCTTGACAGTCTTCCTGGAACATTCCGACAGGGATGGCAGTCATGCGAGATGCACGATTTCAACGGACGGGATTGTTTAAAGAGATCCGACCCAGCCTTCATCCCTTTCTTCGAGCTCTGCCCGTTGAGTGCGTAGACTACTATGTGGCTCTGAAACCAAGCTGAGCTGTCGCGAAAACAGGAAGCGACTCGGGATCCGCTCATGCCAGCATGTGGCAGCCTGCACATGCTTTCAGCTTGCATGCCATGTCAACCTGACCCGATACCTCAGAAAGCAGGTCGTGCAAATTCCCAATCCCTCGGGTGCGTTCAGGTGACATACAGCAACACTCGGCAGCAGGTTTTGTGAGGTATGCGTGCTAGCGACAGCAATATGTTGTGCTGGAGAGATGTGCATGCCGGCATGAGCTGCATCAAAGTGCCGGCCTCGGGGAGGGTTGCAGAAAGTAGTGGAAGGCTGTGATCTTGAGAGAAAGTGTGAGTGGACTGGGCTGCCGCTCGGTCGCCCAGCACGTGCTTCATGAGAGATCGCGAGCGTGTGGGTATAAGCTTCAAGTTGACGCTGTGGATCTGCTTCCTCGTGCCTTCAGTCTCTCGAGCACGGCACAGGCAACTCGCAGTGATGTGGGCCACGTGACGGGGCCGAGGCTGAAGTTCCGCAACGCTTGCAAATGCTAATGCTACACATGTTCTTCCTAAACCTACCGTCAGGTTAGCGCGTTCAAGCCATGAACGAGCAGAACGATGCAGGCGAGGAGAGCTTGAAGTGCCTCGAAGGAATCTGCCGGCGCACTGGTCTTGACATATGGCGGATTTTGACTCAGTTGGCTTTGAGACCCAGGATCATCACTGCATCATGTAGCGCATTCGTCCTGACCTCCTTCGTGCACGAATCGCCAAAAAAAACCCAAGATAGCACATGACCCCTATGCCGAGCTGGACAGATGGTAGCCTCCGTTACAAGTGCACCCAATGCTTCGCCATGGTTGGCCCGGGGCCAGGCAAAGCCGTGACAGAGCTGCAGCTTCAGAGCGTGGGATAGGAAGACGGGAGGGTCTACGCCGACAATGAAAAGGTTTGGTTTCTCTTTCAGAACATGTCTGACACGCTCAAAACCCGCTCATCTCAGCTCCTGGTTCGGGACATCCTCTTCTTGCTGCTGCTTTTCGCCGTGCCAACCGGAGCCTTCCTCTGTGCCTTCGACCGACTCCCGGCTGCGACAGGGACACTCCGTGCTAGAGAGAATTCTGGGCTGTTCTCCTTTCCCATTCACGTGACTCACGAGCAACTTGCATGGTTGTTGTTCCTTACTCTCTCTCCCTCCCTCTCTCTCTCTCTCTCGCGCTTTCTATCTTTCTTTCCGTCTCTCCGTACTGCAGACACCATTAGGAACCCCAAGGTACGTACTTGCCTATTTGTGCATAATTGGGAGTGGGGTGGGGGCGGGTACGTATGTACGTGCATGCGTGCGTGCGTGCGTATATGCCTACTTGTATGTACGTCTGTGACACGTACCACGAAACTCTGTGTCAAGCCTCGACGTACGTACGCACATACGTATGTCCCCCGATGTAATTACGCGCGTACATACATAGCTGAAAGAGCTTCCTGTGTCCAGCTCGGCCGATTGTGGTAACCAGGCTCCTGTTGCGTCGGATTTGGGTTCCCGTTACGCCCTGCACCCCGTCCTTGCTTACCCACCGCCCTGGGTTCTTAGAAACCCCCAGACACGCACGCACATGAGTACGTCGCCCCCTCTTCGCCAAATTAAAGACTTTGGTGGGGCTGGGGTGTGAGAGTGCCATGGAGTACCTATGTATGACAGAGAAAAAGAAGCATCATAGACGTGTGGGCATGGGCCATCCAGAAGCCTAGCTGACGTTGTCACTTTGGTGTGCCTTTCATGTGCCTGATCTACTTGACTGAGGAACGCTGGCAGCTACGCTTGTTGCCAGCAGCCACTTCTTCGCATCAGGGTCACGTTTTGCACTCTCGGACGTGTTTGTTCATCCTCATGGGTGTGCTTCCTGTTCGTTTCGCGCTGTTGGGGGCCGATGGTCAGGGCTCAGACTCGTTGTTTTTTGTCGAACCTCTTGCAAGCCCAGCTGTGCTTTCAGTGCTTTCAACGGCAGGCTTGATATCACTGGCCATCGAGCTGTATCGACAGAGGACTGTCTAGCCCTTCCAGCGGCGCAAGTCTCCGCAGTCTGCTGGAGCCCTGGCCTGACAGGAAGCGCTGCCTGCCGTACCCCGTGTATCTGGTCTTGGTCTATGCTGCTCGGCTCTTTGCAGGTGCCGCCAGTCTCACCGCCCTTGCTCGAAGCAGGCAGTTTTGGACCGGAAGCGTAGTGTCTCAGATCTGCACATCCCCCCTGGGTTGACAGTTTCTGGCGTTTGCACCTGTCCAGCAAGTTCTGGGCTGGGCATCAATCTTTATGCTCAAGGTTTGTTTTTATGCTGTCCACTTCCATGTCTCCATCGACCCCCCATGCCGCCGACACGGTTCTGTTCCTATGCTCATGGGTTTTCCTCTTATGCCCGAGGTTTCTCCATCTATGCTATCGGTTGCTGTTTTTATGCGAAGCTGTTTTTTTATGCTTACTCGTCTCCTGCTTATGCTCCATGGGCCAGGTGGGACGAGGGGGGGCCGGGGGGGTTGGGTCCCACTGCGAGGGGGTGATGGCCTCACTTGGCCAGGCCGGACTTGTTTTGATGCTGGCCGCAGCATAAGAAAAAACCATGCCTCTTAAAAGTACCTTCCTAAAGGCAAATCCGTGTGAGAAAGTCTGTTTAGCACGTTTCCGGCATCGGATTTAGACAAAGTTTGGGCTCCTGGAGGACCTGTAAGAGCAACCAGGAAAGGAGGGGGGTAACAACTTTGTAAAGCAATCCTGAATCCCTAACAATTGCATATCCTTATGGATGTTCATCCACAACGTGGTGAGCTTAGCAAGTCAAGACTCATAAAGAAAACCAGGTCTTGGGGCGGAAGGGCCGGGGGGGGGGGGGTTTGCGGGGAGCATAAGGAAAAACCAGGTTTGGGGGGAGGGGGGCAGGGGGGGGCATAAGGAAACGCCAGGTTCGCATAAGGATAAGCCAGGTTCACATGAGGAAAAGCCGCGAGCATAAGGGGAGAAACCTACAGCATAAAAAAAACACCATGCCCCAGCTTTTTGTCCACTTGCTTTCCACCATTGCCGCTGAGGCTGTGCAGATCCTTTGTTGCCTCCCGTCTCTGCACGGCAGCTTGAGTCTAGCAGCTTGATCTTGATGATGTCGGGGCTTGAATCGCTGGACGTGCGCTGTGTTCTACAATGGCAGAGTGTGTGTATGTGGTGTATGTCGCCAACTTGTCCGTGGCCAGGAAATCCCGAGACATGGCTCCGCGACTGCCGCGACGATTTCCATCGCAGCCCGGCTGAACGCGGCCTGTACCCGTTGCCACATAAAAGCAGTCCCTGTGTTCGTGGTGAGCGCCGCCGTCTGAGTATGTGAAAGTCCGCTCTGAGGTCATGGCAGCGCACAACGAGCATCAGCTCTTCGGATTCGAAACTTCGAGCAGAAGTTGTAGTAATCATGTTGGCAACAATGGCCGTGTCGTCGTCTTCGTCGTGGTGGTCGTGGTGTTTGTGGTTGTGGTTGTGGTTGTGGTTGTGATTGTGGTTGTGGTTGTTATTGTTGTTGTTGTTGTTGTTGTTGGTGGTGGTGGTGGTGGTGGTGTTTGTGTTGGTGTTTGTGTTGG